GATTTCTTGCTCTTTGATGCTTGTAATGGCAGAAAGTCAGGAAATAACACAAAGTGTATATTACTCTTACAGTTATTGCTGAAGATCAGAGTGACATAAGAAAAACTGTGGAGACTGAAAGAGGCACCTTAAAGTTTCAAAACATGAAAATGCTTGTTACTAAGACGTAAATGGAGCAGATTAATAACTCGGCGTGGAGTTTAAAGAGATAATAAAGAGATAAGAGATATCAAAGTCAAACACACTTATTAAAAAATCTTTTTTTATGAGAACAAAACACTTCATAAAGCAGCAGAATAAGAAGTGCCTGTAGCCATTTTCACTGGAAGGAGCTCGGGGATCAGAGGCAGAGCGGAGCTGTCTAAACACTGGCGATGGATGCAACAGAATACTGAGGTTGAATGATGGGTAGCAAGGAGAGCATGCCATAACAAGTTCACAGCCAGTTCATCAGTCTGGAAGAGAGGAAGAGAGGAGTGAAGGATAGAGAAGAAACAGAAGATATGTTCACCAATGACACTTTTACAGATTTAAGTCTGCTCCTGTATGCAGTGAATTAGCAGCAGTATCAGACGTAGTCTCAGTAGTGATAACAACAGAGTCAAATTAAAGGGGGACCTGTGTTCTTGGACTCTATTTAAAATAAACAATCTTTATCTCATTCTGGACCTTGGCGCATCTGGTGATATTATCACCAATCATCTGTCAAGACAAACAATTTTAGCTCCTCCCCCTTTCAGCTAACTTTCTTCTGATTGGGTCACGTTCATAAAAACAAGGTCTTACGGTCAAGGAGCTTTAGTGTCTCAGATGACATATTGGGGATATCTTTATGTCATCATACAGAATTGAGCCTTTAGAGCAGTCTGAAGTCTGAGCTTTTGGCTTACAAGGATATTCACACATATTCTGACCGTATTATATCTTTGTCACATTTAATATGAGCATGCATCTTTGTGTGTGTTGCATACAGTCATGTGAAAAGACATGCAGTTGTGAAAACAAACATACATAGCTTGTAGAACCACATTTACTGGCAATAACTTGTAGTACTATTTTCCCATGTGACTTTATCCGTATTCACATCATTGTGGAGCAATGGCCCAACTTTTTACAGTGTTGCTTTCATTCATTGTGGGCATTTGTTTATGACAGTCCCTTCACATCGATTATAAAGTTACTTACATGTAAAAGTATGTGTTAATGATAAGTAATAGGAAAAAAGTATACATAAGCCACAATTATATTCCCTGCTATCTTGTTGTATTGTTTCTGTAAAGAAGGTTTGTAGTTCATAGATTCATAAACCACAGTTTCTTCTCTTTCAGCGTGTGTGCACACATGTCAGGAGTGCATCAGCTCCTCTGAGGGGTTAACTGATAACCTGGCTCATAGTTTGTTTGATCTCTGTTTGATGGAGATGTTTGGGATTGTATGTTTCAGTTAACATGTAAATATGCTTTACATTTGTTATTTCAGTGTCGAAGCAGAAGGTCCAGTGATTTGATGTGTTTTGATAGACTCGTTGGTAAAATGTGGCTCATTCGTGTTCTTCAGATAGAAACATCCAATGTAGCGTAAGCATATTAATTTCTTGGCATTATAGTAGTTTTATTATATGTATTAGTTTTTTTTTTTTTATTCTTAAAGATATCAACAGCCGTGCAGGACTGACAGCTTGCAAAGATGACATAAAGGCCTATTCAGCCAAACCATTGTTGTTTATTGTTGTGGTTTCTCTTATGTTTTTATTCCAGAAACCCCACACACACACACACACGCACACGCACATATGAAATATAAACCTGGGTAACTTCAACTTAAATACAACAACCCTCTGAAGGATCCTCTCACGTGCTAAAACTGGAACACCACAATCTTGAGAACCAGTGATATTTATCATCAGATTTATAGGATCACAAGCTTGAATCAGGAGATTGCCTCAAACTCTTTGTGTTTCTAGCAGTCAGATGGATGTAGCACTGACAATGGTGGCCAGATGTGCAACTTACAGGCCTGGTTCGGTTTCAGCACCCAGGTTTGGGCCAGTGCACCCCAGTAGATTTATGTCTGCTTCTGTCTCCGGGACCTTTTGCGTGTTTAAAGCAAGGAACAAACTCTGGGTCTGAAAAATGAAGCCAGTGAGGAAGTGGCAGAGGCGGAAGTTCCTAGATTGGCCACTGGAGGCTCGCTCTAAAAGCCAGTTGATCTCCACAGACTCACATAATAAATCTTTTAAGTTTTACAGCAGAAATCAACATATTTACATCTGGGTGCAAAAATATTTTGGTCACTTGGACCGAAAAATAATATCTCTGCTTAGACTGTTGCCCTGTGGCTTGATAAGTAGTAGAAGATGAAATGGATGGATGGGTTTGTGTGTCTCCCATGCACTCTCAGGCAACAGCTTGCACAACTGTTAACTCAACTCTCCGTCCTCTCTTCTACTAACACTATGAAGGGAGCTGAAATTTAAAATAAATTAAACCTGAGAGTGACATCACAGCGGCTATGTCCAACTCTTATATATAGAATTTGACTCTCACTCTGTATGTATTTTCTATTCTCCTAAATTAAGTAACAGTGCTCACATTTGTGTTTCCTTTTGGTGCTTTTTTGTCTTTGGGTCTTCAAGATCATGTTTGTGTTTGTGTTTTTCTTCTTTTTGTTCCAGGTGAAGACCAGAGCCCTCCAATCCTGGGCCTCTGGGATCTCTTTGTACCCTAAAAAAATCAAGATGCTTTTCTTTTCTTCTGTTATTCCATATGTCTTCTTAGCGTTCAATATTTCTTTGGGTAAAAGTTTAAACATCCACATGCCCCCTGCCTCCTCACATCCTGATGAAGACATACTCTATGTCCAAACATTAGCTGCTGCACCTTATTAAAATCCTCTCGTTTTTCCATGCGATCTAGATTTAATCTTTCTTCTCCCTGCTTCAGTTATTCTGTTTGTCAAGGCTCCGCTTTGAGCTTTTGTTGGCTCATGTGTCGGGACTCCTACACACACATATGTATTTACTTAGTTATTTCTTTTGTTTTCTTTGGTTTGTTTGTTTACCCACATGAATGAAGCAGTCATGAGAGGAAATATCTTAAGTGGCTGCTCTGTGGTGTTTTTCGTTGTCGCAGACTTTACTTTTACCCCTGAGCTGAAATAAAAGTGACGTTTTTATTTTATCTTGGTTTAATAAGTCAAGGATCCTGGAGAATTTTTCCCATTTACTCGACCGTGACCCAGAGTTACATTTTTTGCTTTATAAATGACCATAATATGGTTTAATTAACTTCAATCCATCATGGTGTAAAAGCAGCCGTCAGTCGATCAAATGACGGATATTTAATTTTGGGAAAGACAGAAGAAAAACAACATTAACATCCTGTTCCTCTCAGCTGCTCTGTTCTGTGGGAGTTTTCTGCGCAGATAATAATCTCTCATTATGTTGCTACAGTCAATTAACATCCATTACTGTCAGACTGCATCTCTGAGTAAATGTTGACACTCGCTAACTCCCAGCAATACGCTCTTTGCCACATTTAACCTGGAAAAACACAGAGGAGAGGACTTTTTCCCCCTCATTTGGACTTCATCAGGGCTCCTGCTTTTTATTCCTCTTTTGCTTTTTCTTCAGTTTCAGTTTTTCATTCAGTCTGAAGGATTAACCACTGCTTAGAAAGATTTAATCATTCGTACTTCAATTTTGACTCTGAAACTGTTTATTTACTGTTACATAAAGATTCCAGATTAGATTTGCAATGACTGCTTTGTGGATTTTCTTCCAGTCGTGTAGTTACAAGTAAAAATACAAAAAGATATGTCAGTCTTTCATCCACTTACATCATAATGAACTGCAATTTGGAGGTTTCGGACTTAATGTGTGTGCTAAGGGGATTTTTTAAATAGCTGGTAATTAATAAAAAAGTATATATCAGTACAAAATCTGTATAACTGTGCCAGCATTCAGTCACATTTCCAGTTAAAACTTTTCAATTGGTGTTTTCAAAATGGAATTTGCAGGTTTTTAATGGAATTCTGCATAAACAATCCAAACGGATAAAATGCATTCATACAGTTATTAAATCAGAAGGTTCACATAGAAATCGGATTTTGAAATTTTGTTATGCTATCAAAACAAAAACTCCAATAAATTTTGAAAGGAAATTCCAGGGAACTTCCTAGATTTTCAAAATAAATGATCTATTTTCAACAATAAATAATAAACACTAGAAAACTGCAAAACATTAAAATATTAATTTAAAGGAGTGAGTGAGCACAAGTGAGTTTAACTTCAGTGAGAAATGATTTTGACATTTTGTGCCAAAAGCAACACATTTTTCATGCTCTTGTATTAATTAAAAGTCTGGGAACACAAGTTGTCATAAGGTTACAACAGTTCATAAGTGTGTTGATCTCCAAATGAAGACAGAGTACACATGTGTAAACACTTGAAAGCCCGCAGCCAGGACCCAAACAACACTTTTTGCCCTTTTGCCCTTTTTGCCCTTTTTGCCCTGGATACAGTCTGTTTGACCTGCTCCCCTCAGGCAGGAGGCTCCGGTCCATTCGCACCAGAACCTCTCGCCATAAGAACAGTTTCTTCCCCTCTGCTGTTGGACACATGAACAATAACCATATGACTGTTCCCACCACTAACACATGACCCTACGCTGTGTTCACTGCATCATACCATGTTTGGCACTGATCACCACCTGCACTCATGTATATATCATGTATATATCTATCCACTTAGCACTTTAATTCTTATTCTTATTCTTATTTTTATATTTTTATGACAGTATGTTGCACTGAAGCACCGCAGCAATTTCCTAATGTTGTAAACCTGCTCAACATCTGGCAATAAACCCTTTCTGATTTCTGATTTCTGATTAAAAATGAGTTTCATCATATTTAAAACAAATGTCTTCAGTTATGGTATGTTATGTTGTTTTGTTTTCAGTTTTCCATCTGCTGGTGTTAAAAAGTCTCTCTTTCCTTGCCAGGTTGTGACATGTGTGCAGACAACAGGAACGGTGAGTGTCCGATGCACGGCCCTCTTCACTCTCTGCGCCGGCTCGTCGGCACCAGCAGCACGGCAGCACCTGTCACCCTACCAGACATCCCTGATTGGCTGAGAGACCTGCCCAGAGAGGTGAGCCCCACTTCCTATATGCAGCCTCTAACTAAAAACAGTTTGGTTCAGAGCAAGTAAAATCCCCCTTTCTTCTCTGATATTTGAGTGGTTCATTATTTATTGAAAAATACTTAAATTCAATGTAGTGCCTGCAAAATTATATTTAATAGTAATCATATAAATGTACCTCATTGTGCACCCACTTGGTAGCAACATTTAATATCTTTATCTACTAATTTAACACCAGCAAAAAGCTTTAAAAGCTTAATAATCATAACATCTACATAGTAAGCCCATCAATCCCCTGTTGGTTATCTTTCCATTGCCATCTACCTTCATCATGACTACCTCTGCTTTGTATCTGGGTGAAGTCCGTTCATCTCTACTTCCAGGTATCCAACTGGTCCATGCCCGAGGAATGCTTATTTTTTATTGGCCACACACAATGTCAATCACAGTAACTGGGCTCAAACAGGTGTGGGTCATTTTGGTTGATGAATTGAGGTGTCAGTGGTGGAAAGTATAGCTTAGTAAAAAAAACAACAACACACAGTCACTGCAAAAAAACACACAATAGATAAATAAATAAAACTATACAAATACTGTGAAACTAGTACTTCCACTGGGTGATACATGTCTGATAAGTAGGCTGCTGTAAGACCATGATATAATAAATCACAGCTACAGTTTGTAAGTAAATTCTTCTACAGAACAAACTACACACGTCTCACCTTTAGCTGACTGCAGCTGCTGGTGTCACGTTGTTTTGACCTCTGTATGCAGGTGTGTCTGTGCACCAGCACAGTTCCTGGTCTGGGTTACGGAATCTGTGCAGCTCAGAGGATCCCTCAGGGAACCTGGATTGGCCCGTTTCAAGGAGTCCCCCTGATGCTGGAAAAACTGCAGTCTGGAGTGGTCAGGAACACCCGACACCTGTGGGAGGTAAGGAGGGGAGAGCTTTATATCTATGCGTGCACCCACGATTGCCTCATGGCTTTGTGCATTTGTGCAATAAGTGTCATTAAATCCTTCCAAAAAGATTCATGGCTGCTCCGATGCACAGGAATCAAAACCCATACGAGGAAGATTAATTATTTTTGGCTGGTAAAGACACATTTTGAAATGTATCTTTGAATTGAGATCAATAACATTACTGGGGTTGCTTTTTGCTTATTTACCCGGGAGTTAATGGTGCATTTTTACAGGTGGTTAGCTCATTAAATCGAGTTTTAGGAGAGGAAATGGAAAACAACAAACAGCTAGCTAGATGCTGGAGGTACTCTTAGGTTATACTTGTATCCTGACATACATGTGAAAAAACCATGAAACCGTAGTCAAGCGCCTGTTATACGTTCTTCATGTGCACTTGGAGTCTGCTTGTATGATGTATGGGCAATTGGTGGAATAAAGCGTAGTCTGTTGCGGACATTTGGACAGTACAGGGATGTCCTCATGGAGCCTCATGTTTATCTGTGACTATAACACTGGTTTTAGCATCACAACCATCTCATTATCAATGTTATCACACGATGGAAGTATATAGAAGGGGGTTATGTTATGTGCGTTTTTACGTTACGATGTCTACAAATTGAATTCTCTTTCTCTTTCTATACCTGGAAAGACTCAGCTGGTTTTTAAAAGAGAGTTTCTGTGTGGTCGAATACACATCAGTCACATAGTTTGAAATGAGGGCATGAGGACCAGACTTCCTTTTGTTAAAATGTTAAATTAACTAACTTGAATTGTTAGACCGACTCATTTATGTTAGGCTTCTTATTCAAGACCCCGGCAGTAATTGTATTATTTGCATCATTTGGATTTCCTGTTGTATTCTGCAGGGGGAAAAACTGATACTAATTCAACAAATAATAGGTTTTTAAATTTCATCCTGTTCTCGCGTTTTGCACTTAGTTGTGTGTCTGCCTGTTTGTGGATTTTTTTCTGTGCGTGTGTGCTTGTGGTCAGCGTCATGTCACCTCTCAGTCCATTGATCAGAGCAGATTGTATTTACATACAGTGGCAGGAGAAAGTCAATGTGGCAGTTATAAACAGCTGCATTAGCATTAGAGAGAGCGAGGGAGGGTGGACTGAGGCATGCAGGGAGACACAGAGATAGATGAGTCCCGTGTGGCTGAGCTGGTAAAGGTCAGTCAGACGTCGGTTGACCGGACATCAGTCTCTCTGCTGTTGGCTGAAGTGGGACAGGAGGTGGAGGAGGAGGACGTGAGCGTGGGTGGAGAGGGGCTTCTGGTTGTGGTGGTGGGAGGCTGTAGAGGATCACAGGTCAGAGGTTAGGGGGCACAGAAGACATGATCAGCCAAGTCCGGCAGGGCCACCAGGTCTTTGCTTGGGGGGAAAAAAGAACATGAAAGTGATGAGGATTAAACTGACGACATGTTTTTATGAGTTTATCTGATGCAGACAATCACTGAGCAGATTTTACTTTCACATCTTAACTCCTGTTGAACCCAATGTGAAGCTGCAGTTAAATCTGTTGTGCCCAACAGTATGACCTGCAAGAGCTAATCTGCCAAGTGACAGACAGCAGCAAACTTATTTATGACCACCATGTCTGCAGGTCATTTTCTAACCCATCTACTACACCTCCCCTTTTACATGCTATGCTTTTGGTAGAGCTTTGCAAAGCCTTGTCTGCTTGTTGTAGCTGTTTATCATCACCAGGGGGCAGTTTCATAAATATGTGAACTACTCTATTTCAACAATTGGATGCCATCACTTCCTGTTGAGTAGTTACTGGCTTTTTGGAAGACTATAAAGAAGTGTATCTTTGTACTCAGCGCGCCATCGAATGTCTTTGTGAATCAAGGCAGGAACATAATATCAATATTATATCTGTTGTCTCTGATGCCTGGGCTGGTCTGGTGTCTACAGTTATACACTTCTGTGATCAGGTAAAGATTGTGGAGACTTCAAGATTTTGTTTTTGTCCTGATGTGCAGCATGAATAATGAACACAGCTGATTTTAAATAGTTAGTTTAAATGGTCCTGTTCTAGTTGCATATTAAGGCTAATTAAAACTGACAATCTGAGACAATTTGCCTGTTTAAAATGAAATCTACAACACAAAGTGTAGAAACTGAATATTCTGGCGCTAAGATGTAAGAATATCCTGGATGTAATTTTTGTTTTGCTGCTGCAGCTCATTATTTGGACCTGGCACAAACTGCCAGTGACCCTCCATGAGGTCTGAAACCAGCTTTTTAAACTCACTAACCCTGAAGAAAATGGTCTGGTCAGATAACCCAGCTCTAACCGGCAGATTACCGGCTGCCAGGCTACGACTGGCCATTAGGCCTATTGATGAAGGAGCTTTACACACAGATTCCATTAAAACTCACTGGTTGTTAAACTCACTTATTGACGCCTCCCAAAACAGGAAGAGATGCTTGTCCTATAGCCAATCAGGGAGCTGGTGTCATGTTGTCTATGGCATCCTAGAAGAGCCGGTTTTAATTAAGACACTTACCGTTACGTCTGAGTGGAACAGCGGAGGGTTTTCTGGAGCGGCAGTATTTTACTGCTCGACAAATCGATCCCCTCCGAGGCAGAGCTCGGTGCTGGAGTCCAACTTTATGGTGGAATAATTCTTAAACTATCTGACCGGCAGCTTCATCACTCCCTACTCCAGCGCTGTGGCAGAGAAGTCAGGAGCAGAGCGCTAAAACTGAACTTTATCTTGATGTAAATGTAATTTTTGTAATAAAGTTTTATTTAGGGCTACATTGATGAGTTAATCAATTAAGTAAAATAAATACTGAGTAGGTTAAGCAGTTCCCACAGTCCAGTTTTTCTAATTTCTTACCTTAAGCTTTCTGAAAATGCTGATTCACTGATTATGCTATTATAGATAAATAGATTTTAAAATATATTCACAGAGTTAATTAAAACTTCAGAAAGTCCTTTCTGCTTGTTGGATGGAAAACGTGAAAAGGGAGGAAGAGTCAGATGGAGGTGAAAAGATGGTAAGATGGAAGGTGAAGGAAAAGGCCAGAAAAAGCAATGAATAAGTGCTCTAAGTCAGCGGTCCCCAACCTTTTTTGAGCTACGGACCAGTTTAGGTCCAACAATGTTTTCACGGACCGGCCTTTAAAAATTAAGGTGTTGCAGATAAATACAACAAAATACCAAGTACCAAAAAAAAGTCACACGGGAAAAGACCCAGGGAAACCCAGTTAACGATAAAAACAATAAAAAATAATGATAAAAACCGATAAGAACCCTGAAAACCATAAATTTCACACCTAAGCCTCAACTCACATGGCCCGGTACCAAATGACTCCGGGGGTTGGGGACCGCTGCTATAACTGACGGAAAGCACAGAGAAATGAAGAAAGGCGAGAAGGAAGGAAGGAAGGCAGGAGGTGGGGGAAGGATAAATAAAGTGTACAAAGAAGATGGAAAAGGAAAGAAAGGGATAATGAAGGGTGTGAAGCTGATGGGAAAAGGAACAAAAGGACAGACTGAAAAGGACAGGGAAAGGAAGGAAGGAAGGAAGGAAGGAAGGAAGGAAAAAAGGGATAGGAAGGAAGGAAGGAAGGAAGGAAGGAAGGAAGGAAGGAAGGAAGGAAGGAAGGA